CTTTACCATGAGCTATAATCCTGTTCTCCATATCTCCCCAACAACACCCAGACCAATAAACTTGACATGTCCGTAAAATACTATACAAACATGCATAGAGAAACTGCATTCAGCAAAGAGATGGTATATATTTTCAATGTCACAATCATAAAGAGCACAATTAGGATCAATATGACCCCCAATGGAGCATATGAAGCTTCTTTTGCAAACGACCAAGAAGAATTAACCACAATATAAATGAGTATCGGGGGATAAATAAATCACCCCAAATGATCCTGAATCAAGGAGCTTCGTTTGCGATGGCGGTATGTTGTACCACGAGGTACAAGAGTCGAAGCTGTGCGCCGTCCATTGCGTCAACACGGTGTTACAAGGACCTTTCTTCTCCGAATTCGATTTAGCGGCGTTAGCTTCCGGTCTCGACTCCAAAGAGCGTCGGATGATGCTCCAAGGTGCCGCCTCCGCCGGTGATTTCCCCTCTGAGGAATCCCACAATGTCTCCCACGGTGGCGATTTTAGCATCCAGGTTCCCTTTTTTTCTCTTTCTTTTTCCCTTGTTTTCGAGATTACATGGCGGTGAAGGGTAAACTCTAGATTTAAGGGTTTAAGATTGGTTTCTTTGTTGAAAACGTTAAAGCTTGTAGTTGCTCATAATATAAAACATTTTATGAAACAATCTTACAAACTTATGAATACGAATACGAACTTATGAGTGTATTAGTGTATAAAACATTTTCAATTGTACGAGCAAAAACGTTTTATTTAATTATTAAATTTTAATTAATTTTAACTATATTAAATAATTTTAATATAGATTAAATCATATATGATACTGATCACTTTATAATTGTATATCAACGTAATCTTACAAACTCAAATTTATTATTGTCACGAGAGATATATCAAACAATCTCATTCATTAATCATGTTAACATATAATTGACTCGACTTTTGTAGAGAACCATTGTTTAAATTTTCAATGAAATAAAAATATATAAAATTAATGAATATTAAATTAAGGATAAACTACATGTTTACTATCTAACCTATTGTTTACTATCTAAACTGTTACTTTTATTATGTTTTAATATCTAAATTTAGCGATGATGTTGATGTGTCACCGTAAAATAATCACATCATTAATTTCAAAACTTAAAGTTAAAAATGATTTGATTTTGAAAACCAAAGTTTGTTTTGAAAATCAAAATGAAATTTTGAAAAATAATTTTGAAATTTCAAAAATCAAAATCAATGATTTAGAAAAAGGAAATTTTGGATTTGAAAGTTAAGTTTGAGAGCTTAACAAAAGAAAAATAATTAATTTCTAAAAACAACTCATTATGTTTTAAAATGACAAAATGCTCACATTGTCATTTTTATGGTCATTCGGAACATACTTGTCCCATAAAGAAAATAAAATCTTTTAAAATTAGACAAATATGGGTTCCTAAGGGAACAAGAGGCATTAAAACTAACGTCCAAGGATACTAAGCAATTTGGATACCAAAATCCAAATAAATGTCTCTTGTAGGTGTGTGGGAGCAATGGTGATGGAAATGAAGAAATTGAGATGATCTAGTCACACTTGAAAAAAGAATGTGTATCCTCTAAGCTTAATGCTTTTATTTTAGTTATTTGGTTGCCCATTTAGTTTTAAGCACGCATGAGTTTTGATCTTAAATAGATATATTTTGTTTTCATCTCATGTATGTTGAAAAAGTTTTACGATGAACATTTTAAATTTTTAATATTTTTTCATAATTTTTAGTTCATCATAATAAATTTTGGTCAAAATTGATTTTCAATGTAAATGATATCTCTCTAACAACTGATAATTTTTAATATTTTTTTTCATAATTTTTAGTTCATCATAATAAATTTTGGTCAAAATTGATTTTCAATGCAAATGATATCTCTCTAACAACTGATACCAACTTTTCAAATGCTTTGATTTTACAAATTTTAAATTTTTGACCTAAATTTAAATGTTTATGCATGTGTTTTAAATGTTAAAGATATCTCTCTAACAATTGGTATCAAATTCTTCAAATGCATAACGTTTTTGAAAGCTTTATGCATATGTACTTAATTTCAATTACAAGTATTGCATAAAGTATTTTAGACTTTGATATATTGAATTTCATGTGCTACTAACATGTTTGTTACTCTTTGTTGAAATTAAATTTTGTTTATGTGTCAAGATTTTAAAGCTAATTTTTGTTTGGAATGCACTTTTTGAGGGGGAGCTTTTGATTTTTCAAATGATAAAATTTAGCACTTATTCTCCAAAATTATTTTAGAACTTTAAAGTTGAATTATTTTGATATAACAAAAAAGGGAGAAGTATGAGTTTGAAAATTTTATTTTCTTAATGAAAAAGGGGGAGCTAAACATTTTCACATATTTTCCAAACAATTGATATATTTTTCATTAATTTTTTTATTAAGGGGGAGTCTTGCTAAAAACAATTTTTCAAATGTTTTGTTACATCAAAAAGTGGGAGATTGTTGAACTATATTTTGATATAATAATTAACGCAAGAAGTTTTTGGACTTGAATTGAATTTGTTCAAAGTTTTCAAAAATAATTCATAGTCCTTAAACCTTGGAATTGAGCACAAAACAATTTTCTGGACAAGCAGTACCAATATTGTTCTTACAGTATCGATACCTCATGAACAATACTGATAATGTTCTTATGGTACCGATACCAAGGTAAGGGAAGTATCGATACTCACTAGGTAGTATCGATACTACAAACTTTGCTCAAATTCAAGAATGCAAAAATGGTATCAATACCCAAAGGGGTACCGATTCTACTCTACATAGTAGTATCAATACCGTGAGCATATATCGATACCATCAGGCCCCAATGACTAGTAACGACTAGTTGATTTAAATATAACAAAGGTAGTATTGATACTCCTTTTAGGAGTACCGATACCCTCTGTTCTGGACAGCTTTATTTTGCACAAAAATTGATCCTCAACGGCTCCAAAGCACTCCCAATGGCTAGAAACGGTCACACCAACATTCCAACATATAAAAACAAGTTGATGACATTTGAAGAAGGGTTATAAACACCTATCTAAACAATCAAACACAATAGAAGAATTTTTTATTCTTTTTTTCATTTCTCTTGTAAATATTGTGTTTGTGTGAGCTAAATTCTTGTAAACACCCTACCTTTGAGAGGATTTATTTGTTTATATTCTTTTTCCTTGTAAAGGGTTTTGGTTCTATCTTAGCCAATTCAAAAGATAGGGAGTTGTAAATGTTATCTCTTTATCCTTGAAAAAGAAAGAACAAATTAGTGAATTTGTTAGAAAATCCTTAGTGAGGAGTTAAGGTAGTAGACGTAGACTTGGTTGATAAGTCGAACCATTTTAAATCATTGTGCCAAATTTTTCTATCTTTTGCTCTCCTTACTCCCTAATTAAATTATTGTCAATTCACCCCTTGCACATTTTCGGTTGTTCTAATTGAGCCTCTTCAAATCCTAACAGATATCTTTCTAGATGTTGGAGGATTTCGATGTTATTTAACGAGAGAACATATCTTTGATTTGATTTATATAAAAACAATATGATAGGAATTTTCGGACTTTGTGGAATTTCTAATTTTCTTAAATGTTGGACAATTTTGAGGTGTTTTAAAGAGTTGTAAGTTCTAAATTTTTAGCACAATTCATAAAAATCGAGGTGTCTTCTCAAATGGGATAAATTTTAATATTTTTCTAGATGTTGGAGAATATAGGAGATTATGAAAGACTTCACTCTCGAAACTTTTATATATTAATTTGTGAATCTTTAGGGTTTTCATAATGTTGATTCTCTTAGCCGTTAGAGAATTCTAAGTTATTCTCGAGAATTTAAAATTCTTTATTAATATGAAAATACTTTGATTGCATGCATGAGTCGAGATAAAATATTCGTGGTGAAGTAAGCGTCGTTTTTACGGGTGTCGTGAGAGTGTTAACCCTTCCTTACACGTAATTGTTCCCCCGAACTCAACTTTGGTCTTCGCAGACTACAACGTTTTTTGGTTGTCCAATCTCACCTTAAATAGATTGGTGGCGACTCTCATCTTGTTTTCAAAAGTCAAACATCTAAATTTTTATTTTGTTAAAAATGTTGTTAACAATGCCGATCCCCGTGAAGAAACATGTGACTATGAGACAGGTTTTCACACTAAATTTGGAGTGGGAGTCGAAGACAATTTTTATATTAGTCGGCACTTACAAAAAAAGATAATTAGAAAACATAATAAGTTTCAACTAATTTAAAAATTATAAGTCTCGACTAATTTAAAAGATCCGTAATATTTTGGTCACAATATTTGAAATATTTTGGTCATAATATTTCATTTTATGGTAAAAAGATCCGTAATATTTGACTAAGTAGTCACTTTAACTCTTATTATATTTTTTTTAAAGCATTTTAGTCTCAATGTTTTATTTTAGGACAAAATCCCCTATTACTGGGTGTTCATTGTTTGTTGACTAAAAATTTCAATTTTACTAAAAAAAATTGACTTGAAAAGTTTTAAGTTCATAAACTTGATTTGACTTGAAAAATTTTAAGTTCAAATCGAGTTGTAAAATATAACTCGAATAACTCAAAAAATTTAATAATTAGTTGATTGATTTTTAAGTTTGAGTTGAGTCCATCAACTCTATATGATATATGTATATCACATATAAAAAAATATATGAAGAAATATATATGTATAATGGTTATAAATAATTTAAAATTAAATTTAAACAGAAACTCAAAAATTCGACTCGATTAAAAAAAACTAAAGTCAACTTCGAATTATAAAATTTCAACTCGATCACGTTACTGTCATAAAAATGCCTTTTTCCTGAATAACATCACCTATTAACTATACTAATTTGGACCTACTAATAATATGATAAAATTAGAAGGATCAGATTGTGTCAAATTAAAGCGAGATTAAATAAAAATAAAGAAATAGTATATCAACAGCCTACGATAAATGAATTAAACTATAAACATGAGAAAGGGAACAACAGCATATACATGTGGATGCTGATGATTTTAAACCAAAACAATGTCAAGCTCTGTTTTCTCGAGATTTACAAATGAAATTCTTACCATTCCTGGAAGAACATAAAGCCTCCTTAATCCAACATCATAAGGTTACAAGCGGCCCCACGATGGCGATACCATCGGCTTCCGGTCGATCTACGAACTATTCATTGCAGTGTCTACCTGGTTTGCATTGGCATCTTCTTTGCTCCGCTTATCCTTATCTCTGGTGCTCAACGGTAGCAAAAGAGGTGAACTTCCTTTACTTCTGTCGGGCAGTTCTGCAGGAAATCTCGGTGTTAGAACCACCGCCGATCATCAGACGAATGTACGATGCGATCAAAACATTCTAACCTGGCAATTTCTTGTCTATGAAGAACACCACTAAACTAACAGTATACCTGCAGAAAAATCTGTCAGCATGACAAAAAAATACAGTAACTTTTTGGTTATAAAAGGAAACTTCAGAAGCATACTTCATACCATGCGACGACTACGTCAACCGTGTAATGTTTGCGGGATGCTACGATCAAGAAACTCTGAATTATAGCTACCAGCCAACCAAACTGCTTTATACATCTGCAATTGTGTGATACCATCACAAACCAATCAATATTTATACTTCCTTCAGCTAAAAGCATAGCAAGTGCGTTAAAGAATCGAAACAAACATGTTTTACCGTCGTGTGCCGTATTTTTGGTAGGTGATGACGAAGACCAGGGTGAAGATCATGTGTGATGAGAAAATCAAGTCACCACAACCATATGTTAAACCTTGAGGAACTGCAAATAAGATGATCAAATGAACCAAATATTTACATTCTTAAAAGCAATAAATTGAGAGATTCAGCGAAAGAGGGGATACAAACAATTGATTAAGAGGACTTCTAGCACACCATCCGGTTTTGGCAATCTGGCAAGCTTTGAACCCTGCAGAAACACTAGTTATGTACTCAAATGATATTACAAATATAAACATAAAGTAGAGCAAAAATACGATATACCGCTCGACAATGATAATTAGGACCAGGAAGCTGAGTAGAATAGAATGTGAAGATTCGGAGAGTCTGAGAAGCCTGCAACAAAGAAATACTAGTAGAAAAAATACAATGTAGATGATAAAGGCTTCATGATTTATCAAGGTTCATCAAATTCAGCATTGAGGTCATCGATGAAAATGGTAGCATGCATTGGTGTAGTATGAAAAAGGAACCTTGAAACTATTCCAGAGCAAGGCTCAATGTTGGGTGCATATTAATCAGAAGAAGAAGACAGAATAAAGAATCAGCACTCACAACTAAAAATGCTAGCACCCTGCACCAAATTAGAACTGTATAGAACTTTTTGACCTTGAAGACAAAAGGATGGAAAGTCCACTGCAAAAAAAAAATGTTACTAAGAAAAACCAATGAATTTAATACTTTACATAAGAAAAATCAAACAAGGGAACAACTTTACCAAGAAAAATGATAGAAAGATGAAGCCGAACACCGTCTCGCTGATGTAAGCTTTATCTTGCCCAAGCTCCTAAATTTACAAGAAAATTAAGTATATGAATGCACTTTACATAATAATTGGCACGTAACAGATATAAGCAAAAGTGAAAAGAACAAGAAGAAACTTGTACTTACCGGAAGAAGAAAGAAGCCAAGATCCTGAAGCGTTGGCCCCGGCCGGTGTAGGTAATGAACTCCTCGAGCAGCTAGACCATGAATATACTTGAGAAAGAAATGCACATTTCAGAACCAAAACCGAGTATACTTGAACTTGGGAAAATTAAACACAGTAACAGCCTCGAGTGTAATTCGATTGCTAAAACAGTGTCATCATTATGAATCATGATATAAGTTTGGAAAACTACTTCAAATATCATTCAATCTGTTGTTTCTTTTACCCAAATTTTAATTTTGCCAATTATAACATTAAACTACAGTTTTACATTTAATTAAACCACACCGTCGTTAAGTCGGTAGTTGGACGATGACATTGCTAACGATGTGACTTGCTACGTCAAAACCGCGTCGTATTCTTTTTCAAATAGTTTTCTTTTTTAGAATTACACTTTTCATACCAACAAACATTCATATTTCGTGGCAAGATCGGTATCAAGACATTTATATTATACTCCTCTTCCTTTTGCTAAGATTGATTTTCCACGAAATCGATTTAATTAAAAAAAAAATCTAACTTCGCAGCAGGAAAACAGAAGGAAACCTGAAAAATGACTCCGGAGAGAATGTATTTCCTATTGTCTAGAAGAATGTTGATCTCTGTAATTGTCTCCGCACAAATCCTCTTCCATATCTGGAAAAAGAAATAAAAAATATCAAATCCAAATCCCTTAAAAATTCCCAATGTCTCAACCAATAGAACACGGACCTTTGAAGGCTCGCGACCAATGTAAAGCTTCATTCTGAGGTGGTTTAACAGCCAGATCCATACTACTTCAACCCAAACAGTTAACATGAACATGGTTAAGAATTAGAAAACCTCGCTCGATGTTTCAGCAGAATTATCTCGTCAAAAAACAAGAGAAAGGAGAAGAAAAGAAGCGAGATTGGTTCATGTTTCGCTTTCTTTGCTTCCTTCCATAACCGATTCTAGAAACAAAGGAAGGCAAAGAAAGGAATCGAAGAGGGAAAGGGTCGAATTGAAGGGCCTCTCTTCTCCAAGGCTTTGGGATTTCAATAAAATCAAAGGATTTTTTTCCCTAAAAATGGTGACAATTAAGAGAGAAAGGGAATAAAGAAAACAGAGAGTGGATCACGGAGAGACCGTTGAGAATATTTACATGTAAATATTTGCTACTAACTGTAATGAATCAAATTTATCAATACTTACATTTTCAGATCATGCCTTGCTTTCCTTCATTCATTCAAATTTGCATGGAATAGTTTCTTATTCGCATGCATATCAAATTTAATTAACTACAGATACATAATCCAAGGTTAGGAATACATAGTCTTGGATGCTCATTAGAGGAAGAACTTCACCACCTTCAGAGGTCTCTCACTTCTCTCACTTCACCACCTTCAGATACATAATTGACAACACATGTACCCTAAACCCTAAATCCGTTGTTCAAACTCAAAATATTTAAGAAGAATAACATTCCACTCAACCATTGATCACTTAATAAATTTGGAATAAAGTGAATGTTAAATATTCATACACTATAGAGAATAAATTATATTTTGTTGTCTTTTTTTATCTTCTCTTGAATTACAGTGTCATAATTTAAAATTAAAATGCTTAAATAAAATTATATAAATATATACATAATATTGATACTCGATAAATTAATACATAATATGACTAAAATAAATAAGATTAAATATAAAAATTATGTTCTTTTAATAAATGAACAAATGTGTCTTTGGTTCGTCTCTGTTAACAAATAAATTTATTTATTATCTCTTTATAAATTCGTTTATTGACTCGTTTTTTATTAATGATATTTTCTTATAAAATGTTATTTTAATATTTTCTTCTATTTTTTTATATGTATTCCAATTCATTAATCTAGATGTACATACTTATACCCGTGTAAGTATATGTTTACTTCTATGTACTAAAATAGTGGGAGAAATACATGCTTATATAAGTATGACGTGTGTTTATTTTTAGGTATCAGATTTACACCGATATTAATATGTGCATCTATCACTCTCATGACATCTAGAAATAAATATACATACACCGGTATAAGTATACACATTTTCTACTGTTTCTTTTTAAACTTATTTTGGTTGCTAATTTTTTCGATTTTAAATTACATTTTTACTAAAAAAATTTAAAATTTGTATGATGGGACTAGCTTTATGAAATAATTTTACATTTGAAGTTGTGGTACTTCTATAATTTTGTTTTCTTCAATAAATACTTTTATACAACATTAGCGAATATAATATTAAATATTTTATAAAATATATTTTAAAAAGAGATAAGATTAATTTCTTTTTAAGGGTCAAGATCTTTTAATAATGGTGTCATTTTTGTTGTATATATATATATACACCAACGAGTGTTGTAAGTGGTTGGGATTCAGAAATTTGAATTTGTAAGGTCAAGTTCGAATCCTACCACCGTCACTCTTGGTAGACAATTTGTAAAGCACTATGTAAATCCTAATTGAGTCTTAGGTTTGTACTGACCCTAGACAGGAGAGACACCCGGGTTTATACGGGAACCATGCAGGGACGAAAGAAGAGTGTAGACAATCAGACCCAACTTATCAAGTAGCCTCAAATATTGCTGTCAAATCCAAGTCTTCTCCTCCATACACCTTTCATGGAACGACTTGTATCTTCCACGATACGATTTAGCTTGGCCTACCTCCCACCGCAGCTACATGCCATTTCCCCTTTAACCTCGAAACATTTAAGCTCTCTTTTAGAACAAGAACAGCGCAAGCCGGTCAGACAGCTGCAGCACCAAAACGGACTTCAACGAGTGGAGGAGGTCTGTTTATATGTCAGTCCACATCATTATAACTCGCCTAACATTGTTATTCAGCAACAATCCAAATCATCAACAACCGCACAGCCGTATAGCTCCCTAAGAACTCACCAATCGAAACATCACTCTAGACCAGCATTTGCCATTTGTTACCCTTGCAGGAACATCGTTCTGCCTTTTCCCTAACCCACAGACCACTGGATAACAGATTACTAGTCGATACATTTCTCAGCATTATGACTTCCGTAGATCAATGACCACAAAACCAACTTATGAGATAGCCTTCTTAGCTAGCCTATCCGCATCTGTATTGCAGACCCTTGGAATGAATTTTATCACAATGTTCTCTCGGAGAATTGTTAAAGTGATCGAATGCAACCGATTTATCAAATCAGGAGGAGTCTTCGAAGGGTTAAGAATCCATCCAACCACGCTCGCACCGTCACTCTCCACAATTAAATCAAAATTGCTGTGCCATTTTGAACCTATGAATATTTTTATAGCATGGTCAATTGCCATTATTTCAGCTAGTACCGATGAACCTCCTGCTGAGTCCTTGAGGATTCTGCCTATACCACCAGCACTTCCATCCACTTTCATAGCACCATCAACGTTGAACTTTAGTCAGCCACATGGAGGCGGGCGCCAAGTTATCAGTTGTTGAGCTGTCTTCTCAGCCGGGATGTAACCGTCTGCTATAGTTAAATTAGCCTCAATGTCCTCCAGCAAACAAAGGTGACTCGGGGAACTTGGCTGTAAACCGGCTGCACACAATACTTATTACCAAATCACATTCATTCTAAATTTCTTAATTACTTTCTAAGAAATTACTTTTAACTATAGATTTAAGAAGGCCTGATTATGAGATTTTAGTGGTCTTGGGCGAACTAAAAAATTAAGCCCCTAATCAGAGTTAAATTATAATTTGTATTTGTGTCTTCGGTTGTGTTGCATTTATCGATACTATGAACATAACAGGTGATATTGCGGTAACTACAAGTATCGTGATTGTGGATTTTTAATAACATATATTATGTGGACATAAAGATTGTGGATATCGCAGTTTTAAATGATGCCGTTATCACTGGATAACGGTCATTACTGTGGTTACAGAGCGTTATTTAAGTAATTGCTCATATTAATTAATGTTGAAAAAAATAAATTTTATGGGCATCTTCATAATAACAAGTGTTGAAACAAATGAATCACTAATAATAAATACTAAAAAAAGTAAATTTTAAGAATATGCTCGTAATAAAAAATATTAAAAAATTAAACATTTAATAAAAAAGTATTGAAAATTTGGACCCATAACAACAAATAAATATTAGAAAATAAATTAAATTTTAAAAGTATGGCCCTGATAATAAGTATTGAAAAAATTGAACCTTTAATAACAAATGGTAGAAAAAATATGGATAAAAAATTGGATACTTATACAAATTTTAGAAAAAAGAATAAATTATAGGGTTAGGCCCTAATAATAAATATTAGAAAAAATCTAAGCCCATAATAATAAATAGTAGGAAAAAATTAAAACTTTAATAAAAAATATTAAAGATCAATAGGTCCTATAATTAATATAAAATCATTTTCTTACAAGTATAATATATTATAAAAATTCTGATACGAAACTAGATTTAAGTACTTGTGGCGTAATTTTATCATTTTCTTTAGCTTGTAAATGAACATATAAACGAATAATAAATGAACATACGAACGTTAAATGGACATGTTCATGAACACTAAATAAACACATTCGTGAATATATAATTGAACACGTTCGTGAACATATAAATGTATACATTCGTGACCAATATATAAACGAACACGATATTAAAAATTTAAACGAACACAAATTGAACACGAACACTTTCATAAATAAGAAAACAAACACGAACATAAGGTTGTTCGTTCAAACTCGGTTCATTTACACCCCTACAAATGGTCCCTTGATTATATAGTGTTGCTTTATTGAGTCATTCAACTACTAAAACTTACAAAATGGTCTACTGACTATATGATATTATTTTGTTGAATATATCGACTATTAAAAATTAAAAAATGGTCACCCGACCAATCATATATTTCAAACTCGTTCTTTTCTGTTAAAAATTGACGGCCGTCTGAGTTGGACGTTAACATATTAATTGAGATATAATAAAATATGATCTCAGAATTGTTTTGGATTGTATTTTGTGGAGACAGTGTTTGAAACATTATGTCGGTGAACCAGTGCTTGAAAGCAACTGTGATGCTAGTTGACATTATTAAAATATGATTTTATCGTATCTTATTTAACAGATTAACGTCCAGCTCGTCAATTTTTTAACGAGAAAAGACGAGTTTAAAACATATGAATAATTATGTGATAATTTTATAACTTTTAATAGTCGACGACTCAACAAAATAAATATCTATACTCAAATATTATTTTATAACTTTTAATAATAGGGGTTGAATAAAACAATATTCTATAATAAAAAACCATTTATACAGTAAAACTATTTATTCTTGTACAGTAAAAAG